TAGTGAGTTCGATCCTCACTGTCTGCTCCAAACTTTCGACATTGTGGCACACCTAAGCTACGCTTAGAAAACCACAATCCTGACCTTCGATTCTATTGCAAGTTCAAGATAAATAAAGGTAACGTTATATCACGAATAGCATGATCACGAACCGCTGAACACAATTAAAAAAATAATGTTTCATGAACACACAAAGATATATATATATATATATATAATATATATATATATATATATATATATATATATATATATATTAAATAAATGTGTAACTAAGATAAATGTAATTGACTTAAGAATTATTAATATTTTATTACCAAAGAAATGGATATGGTCTATATACATTTGTAGACAGGCATGCTGTCATCTGAACTTTACATTAGAAACGCATGATTTAACATCACATATAGACTGATATATTTTGACAACAAACCTTCTCTAATATAAAATTCTTTTTAATTGAAATGACTTCCATCAAAAACATTACTGATACTTCTGTTAAATTTTTTTTTTGAATTAGTGCGATGAATAAAAGTCTCAATCTATTTCTTATTTCGTACTTAAAGTGTCTTAAATTATATATATATATATATATATATATATATATATATATATATATATATATATATATATATATATATATAAGTTATGAAGAACTTGGTAATCCGTATGGGTAATCCCAAGGAGGATGAAATCAATGAGAGCTCAATGTAAATCCAGAGCTAATATTTAAAAAAAAAACAGACCACTTTAAGGTACCATTATAATAATTTATATCATCAGAGCTCTTTTAAAGGACGCCGGATCATCATGATATACTTTCAAAAATGAAATGAAACGAAAAATGAAATTAAAATTGATGGGTAGTATTTTTTTTGTAATTTAACAGAATATGTAAGTGGGATAGTTAAAGAGACATAAGTATAGTATAGGGAGGATTAATTTTTATATATATATATATATATATATATATATATATATATATATATATATGTGTGTGTGTGTGTGTGTGTGTGTGTGTGTGTGTCCTATATATTTATATATATATATATATATATATATATATATATATATATATATATATATATATATATATATATATATATATGTGTGTAAATAAAGGATGCAATGGGTAAATTTTTCGCCATTTTATATTTTTAATTTCACGCATGGGCGCTGTTTGTTTTTACTTTGATGACTGCACGGTATTTTATGTGAGAAAAAAGAGCATCAATACGCAGTTCACTTCTCCAGATATTTGGAAATAGCATGCTGTACTGCTTGGTATTTGCACTGGCCGCTTCATTGCGAATATTGTAGAGAGTTTGGGAGTTAATCTAAAGACAATGGATTCCGAATGAATTGGATATGTCTAATGGTTATTATCAAGCTATTTGGTGTGATCACTAGTGATGGCAACGTTAAACTTTCATTGATCTTCCCACAGGGAATGAGACTCAACGCAGAAACCTACATCAAGTGCCTTGATGAGGTAGTACTGCCTTGGGCCACGATGGTGACTGCTGGAACACCCTATATCTAGCAACAGGTCTCTGCACCATGCCACACACGCAGGAGAACCCAGTTATAGCTATAAGACAATATTTGCGAACACGTCACCGCTTACATCTGGCCACCTAACTGCCCAGACAGCGGCACGCTTGGTTATTATGTATTATGTGTGGGGCGCAGCTGGGCGAGACACTAACAAAACTCCTTGTAACATTAAAAATGAACTGAAGGACAATATTATGGAAGCATTCACAAACTTGATCAAGGAAACCGACAAGAAGAGATGCAGGAGATTCCAAAGTTGTCTTGATAGAGGCCGTAGTTGAAATCTATGGCGATTTTATAGAAGAAATTTAGTCTTTAGTAGTTCAAGATATTTTTGTGCAATTCTGGCAAATATATTTGTTAAAAATATTTGACAGTATTATTCCCATTTTGTGCAATTTAGACGACAAATTATCCATCCATCGCTATATATATATATATATATATATATATATATATATATATATATATATATATATATATATATATAAAGATTACGAAGAACTTGGTAAACCGAGTGGGTAATTCCAAGGAAGATGAAATCCTGAGAGCTCAATGTGAATACTGAGCACCTATATATATATATATATATATATATATATATATATATATATAATGAAATGGACAATGTCCGACAATTATTTTTTAAGACATTTTTTTATATTTATACGTTCTTTTTATAGATACAAATATTTAAGTAAATGCTCTGTTTATAATAAACAATATTAACAACATTTACCGGCCCGAATGTCATAATGTATGACGTCATTTTTATACATTTGGATACGCATTGAGCAGATATGAATGAATGATAGAAAATCATGGAGAATTGTGTTTAGAAACAGTAAAATCGACCTTGCTAACCGAACGCTCCTCTGTGGCCCAATCGGTTAAGGCACGTCAGGCTATATGACGGTCCCGTATAGGATACAGGTTCGATTCCTGTCGGAGGACGCATATATTCTATGAAAATTTCTCGGATATTCAGGCCGGTTAATACTGTTTATTATAAACAGAGCATTTACTTAAATATTTGTATCTATAAAAAAGAAATATATATATATATATATATATATATATATATATATATATATATATATATATACAGATTATGAATAAATCTGAAACGATAAAAATGTGGTTCTACAAAACATGCAGAACAAGTGAGCAATGATGAAGTTTTAGAGAGAATAAAAGCAAAACGAACACGTATAATTTTAATCAGAAAGAGTCAGCTGAAATTTCTTTGGCATATAAGGAGGAGACAGAGCTTGGTAAGTTTAACACACGCAGGACATAGCCTCGTCTGGGGGTCCTCTCTGCCCGGAGCCCGAGAGTTTGTTCAGCACAGCTGGAGACGAATCTCCGACTGCAAGGCCGAATTTAATGTGGGATATCCGAGCCCGTAGGCTCGGCCAAAAACTCCCCGTAGACCCCGTATAATACGTGGTCGGGTAGCTGTTTCCCGAGACGAGAGACTGTCCTTCGACATGGCCTCGTCTGGTGATCTTCTCTACCTCCGGGCAGAGAGTTTGACCAGCACATCTGGAGACGAATCTCCAACTGCAGACCAACAGTATCTACTACTGTATTTATTGTAATAGGGACATACCCATTACCGTAAGGAGGTATGCTACAACTGGAAGTTTAACACTGGTAGGACATATTGAGGGATTGGAAGGACAGAGGAAAGCAGCACCTAATCTTCCTAAAATGCTCCTGCAAATTGGTTGACTGAAAAGGGATTAGGTGTGGTAGCAAACAGACAAAATTTACTAAAATCTATAGAGGACAGGAAATTGAAGGGTCATGACACAGAAGAATTAGAACGAGCAATCCTTCCTAGAACATGAAGAATGAGCATCTGTAAAAAAAAATATGGGAGAACAGAGAGTAGGAGTGATAGCAAAAAGAGGCAATTTATTAAGAGCCACAAAGGAGAGGGAGATGTGGAGGGCCATGATCGCTCACTTCCTGAAAGGACACGGCTCATAGAAAAGTAGAAAACGAAGACGACGTACGAACGAAAGAAGTCGTGTAAATTCTTGTAAGAACAGAGATTAGGGGCGAATGCTAAAAGACAACTTTATTAAGAGCTGCAAAACACACGATATTGTGGAGAGTCGTAAACCTCGACATCCTAAAGCCAGACGACATGAAGAAGAAGAAGAAGAAGAAGAAGAAGAATAAGAAGAAGAAGAAGAAGTTTGTGTTAGTGTCTGACAGCGATTAGAAGAGTTGGCGAAAAAAGAAAATTTTTATCAAGTGTAGCAAATGGCAGGATATTGTGGAGACCCATGATCTATATATTTACTTCACCCTTTTTATATATATATATATATATATATATATATATATATATATATATATATATACAGAGCGATGCGGGTGACTGCATGCGTAGATATTCTGAGGCTCACCTCAATTGGGAGTTCAACCGAGAGACATTAATTCCAACAAGTTTCAACTGACTGCAGGCTAAAATAGCATCTGGCACTAAACTATTGCCCGTCTATTCTAGTTGATGGTAACATGGCATCGCTTTCCGGATAAGCACCATGGCTGATTCACCGGTGAGGTCGAAGCGTTTTACCGATTAAAATCAGTCCGCCTGGCCGTTCAAGTTAGAGGTCAATGGTGATGGTTTGACCTGGAAAAGGATAGTCTCCGCCAAGTATACTTTGCGCAAGTCACGTTATGCATGAAGGGATACTTGCCGAGACACGTGGAAGTAAACACGTTCGATTTGACAGCTATACTTGGCGAGACACGTGGAAGTGGAGACGTTCAAGTGTACAGCTATACTTGCCGAGACACGTGGAAGTGGAGACGTTCAAGTGGACAGCTATACTTGCCGAGACACGTGGAAGTAGAGACGTTCAAGTGGACAGCTATACTTGCCGAGACACATGGAAATGGACACGTTCGTGTAGACAGCTATGCTTGCCGAGACACGTGGAAGTGGAGACGTTCAAGTGGACAGCTATACTTGGCGAGACACGTGGAAGTGGAGACGTTCGATTTGACAGCTATACTTGGCGAGACACGTGGAAGTGGACACGTTCAAGTGGACAGCTATACTTGCCGAGACAAGTGGAAATGGACACGTTCAAGTGGACAGCTATACTTGCAGAAACACGTGGAAGTGGAGAAGTTCAAGTAGACAACTATACTTGCCGAGACACGTGAAAGTGAACACGTTCAAGTGGACAGCTATACTTGCCGAGACACGTGAAAGTGAACACGTTCAAGTGGACAGCTATACTTGGCAAGACACGTGGAAGTGGAGACGTTCGATTTGACAGCTATACTTGGCGAGACACGTGGAAGTGGAGACGTTCAAGTGTACAGCTATACTTGCCGAGACACGTGGAAGTGGAGACGTTCAAGTGGACAGCTATACTTGCCGAGACACGTGGAAGTAGAGACGTTCAAGTGGACAGCTATACTTGCCGAGACACATGGAAATGGACACGTTCGTGTAGACAGCTATGCTTGCCGAGACACGTGGAAGTGGAGACGTTCAAGTGGACAGCTATACCTGGCGAGACACGTGGAAGTGGAGACGTTCGATTTGACAGATATACTTGGCGAGACACGTGGAAGTGGACACGTTCAAGTGGACAGCTATACTTGCCGAGACAAGTGGAAATGGACACGTTCAAGTGGACAGCTATACTTGCAGAAACACGTGGAAGTGGAGAAGTTCAAGTAGACAACTATACTTGCCGAGACACGTGAAAGTGAACACGTTCAAGTGGACAGCTATACTTGCCGAGACACGTGAAAGTGAACACGTTCAAGTGGACAGCTATACTTGGCGAGACACGTGGAAGTGGAGACGTTCGATTTGACAGCTATACTTGGCGAGACACGTGGAAGTGGAGACGTTCAAGTGGACAGCTATACTTGCCGAGACACGTGGAAGTAGAGACGTTCAAGTGGACAGCTATACTTGCCGAGACACATGGAAATGGACACGTTCGAGTAGACAGCTATGCTTGCCGAGACACGTGGAAGTGGACACGTTCAAGTGGACAGCTATACTTACCGAGACAAGTGGAAGTGAACACGTTCAAGTGGACAGCTGTACTTGCAGAGACACGTGGAAGTGGACACGTTCAAGTGGACACGTTCAAGTGGACAGCTATACTTGCCGAGACAAGTGGAAGTGAACACGTTCAAGTGGACAGCTGTACTTGCAGAGACACGTGGAAGTGGAGAAGTTCAAGTAGACAACTATACTTGCCGAGACACGTGAAAGTGAACACGTTCAAGTGGACAGCTATACTTGGCGAGACACGTGGAAGTGGAGATGTTCAAGTGGACAGCTGTACTTGCCGAGACACATGGAAATGGACACGTTCGAGTAGACAGCTATGCTTGCCGAGACACGTGGAAGTGGACACGTTCAAGTGGACAGCTATACTTACCGAGACATGTGGAAGTGAACACGTTCAAGTGGACAGCTGTACTTGCAGAGACACGTGGAAGTGGAGATGTTCAAGTAGACAACTATACTTGCCGAGACACGTGAAAGTGAACACGTTCAAGTGGACAGCTATACTTGGCGAGACACGTGGAAGTGGAGATGTTCAAGTGGACAGCTATACTTGCCGAGACACGTGGAAATGGACACGTTCAAGTGGACAGCTATACTTGCCGAGACACGTGGAAATGGACACGTTCGAGTAGACAGCTATGCTTGCCGAGACACGTGGAAGTGGAGACATTCAAGTGGACAGCTATACTTGCCGAGACACGTGGAAGTGAACACGTTCAAGTGGACAGCTATACTTGCCGAGACACGTTCAAGTGGACAGCTATACTTGCCGAGACACGTTCAAGTGAACACGTTCGAGTGGACGGCTATACTTGCCAAGACACGTTGAAGTGGACACGTTTGAGTGGACGGCTATACTTGCCGAGGCACGTGGAAGTGGAGACGTTCGAGATAGCTAAGCGGCAATACTACGGTCACAACCGCTCATTGGATTGATGATAATGATGACGCGAAGTTTCCGGTGGAAATATCATTTAAAAGCAAGAATCGAACATGCATCGAAAGAAAGATTGGACAGATGGTAAACCTCAGAAGCAAAAAAAAAAAAAAAGCTTCCAAATATGTGGGAAGGGGCTCAAGATCTGTGGTAAAGAATCGATTTTAAGAGAAAATGAAAGACGTAGAGACAGGTAGGAAAGGAAGTAAATCCGAAGAAATATGAATGAAGAGAGGAGGAAAAAAATAAAACTAGAAGACACTGCCTCCGGTTAGACGCTGATATTTAGCGACAGCGTTTGTACAGCCTTTCAAATCTTTTCTCTTTATTAGTGGAGACGCTTTTGCCTGTTAATGTCAAGTTCTTTACGTCTCGTGCAGCGGTGATGAGAAAGCGATTTTATCTTTTCAATAATAAAAAAAAATGTACTTGTTCTACAATTGCATTTTCAATTCAACTGAAACGTTATTCCGGTTTATAACCAGACACACATTTTTTTAACTGCATTTGGATGTAAGATTTTCAATGTATAATACTCGATCTTAATGTTTAACACAGAACCATTTGTTTTGTTTTTGCTTTTTTGTATTTTTTCTTTTGTTTTTTTTTTCTTTTGTTTTTTTTTTCTTTTGTTTTTTTTTTGTTGTTGTTTTTTTTGTTAAATCGACTTCACACCAAGCAAGGCAGTAAAGCCACTAAGGCACAAGGGGGGTTATCAAGGTGTGGAAGAATTAGAAACAGAAACATTACTAATGAGCGAGAACAAAAAGAGTAATCAGGATACCGATTGACATTGCATTTAAATTTTTGATGATTAAATTTGGCGCGAAAGCATGGAGCCGGAAACGAGTTCCACAACTGAGAAGGGCGAGAAAAAAACATAGAAATTATGTGTATATTTAGTCAATTCAGCTGTAAATTGATGAGATATCTTCGCCAGTCTAGTACTGCGCTTAAATTAAAAAAAATTTTAGCTGCCATAGCGAAAAACACATTTGAACAATTACTATGGAAATTATTTATAGAAAAGGCACGATATAACAATATCAGATGGCAACTGATATCTTGTCATGGGCAACATCTAGAAGATGACACAGAAATTGTTTTGACAGTAATCGGCCTGATAAAGAAGGTCAGTTAAGTGAAGTTAGACCTCGCAAGAACTATGATAAACGTGACTGACAAAGTAGTTTAAAAATTTGGAATATGAATGATATATATATATATATATATATATATATATATATATATATATACAGTGTAACCCGGATATAAGAGACCCAGATATAAAGAAACCCGGGTATAAAGAGATTTTCTCTGGTCCCAAATTAGAGCCTGTGTTAATGTATATAAAATAGACCAAACCCGGATATAAGAGAAACCCTGATATAAGAGAAACCCGGATATAAGAGACTTCTTCTCCGGTCCCGACAACTCTCTTATATCCGGGTTACACTATATATATATATATATATTATTTTTATGAAAGCTGGCAGGACAAAGAACGTTTGCCCTCTAGAGTGGCCTAAAACTAGAGGACAGCTCGCCGCCATACGAAAAGAAAAAAGGTGCACACCGATTAGACCAACCGCCCCCTAATTATCCCTCGCCCCGCTTCATCCTATCTCACCCCCATTTGCCTCACCAGGACTCGCTCTTCGACAGCAAAAGGTTACAAGTGATTAAAATTTACCAAAAGCTACAATATAGAATCATGGTTTTATTTCGTGGGGAATGATTTATTTTCAAAGTTTTAAGACACACGCGTTCGTCTCAAAGAAGCTGCGCCCCGATAACGAACCAGGTGTCTAGTCTGAACTGCAAAGCTACACTCACCGGAACAATTACCATGAATATATTTATAGAAAAGACACAGGGAAGCAACTTTACGTTGATAGTCGAGATTCCAGGTCAGGACCAATAATATTGCTGATTCTTCTATCAAGTTTATCAAGAATCTCTAGATATAAAGCAGGAGCACAGTATCATATGTGGTAGCAAGATTCAATACATGGAAGAATGGTAGACTTATAACTATGTAGGATGGATTTACGAGAGAAAAACATCCAAGGAACATGGTCTGTCTTGCTATTTACCCATATCTGTGGAGAAAAGAAGAGGATTTATACCTTCCCCAAATGGAATTCGAACTCGGCTCTCCGATTCCTCAATCCACCGTGATTCCTATCTCTCTCCCTCTCTCTCTCTCTATTCTCTATCTATCTATCTATATATATATATATATATATATATATATATATACATATATATATGTGTGTGTGTGTGTTAAAAATTAGCAGACATAATGTTTGTAATTTATTCACTCAAACTCAAAAAAAAGTGAATTTTCTGCCTAAAACACACACACACACACACACACACATTTTACATATATATATATATATATATATATATATATATATAATAAAAAAATAAATAATTATATTTATGCTCTACTTTTTGTATCAAAGCACTTTTTTTAAAAAAAATAATAACTAAAATACTAAGGAACTTTGGATTATTTACCTAACCAGTTTCTTCCTATTTTCTATATATTTTCATATATATATATATATATATATATATATATATATATATATATATATATATATATATATGTATAATTATTAAAGTATACTATATATATATATATATATATATAATTATATATGTATGTGTGTGTGTGTTTGTGATAAAAATATAGTTTTAAACTGTGACATATTAGTAAAAGCGCACAGTATTAGAGATAATACTGGACACTGAGGTCAATACCAATTCTTTAGAGGCATAACCGTACCTGACTACCGAATAATCAGGACAATGTAATAAACCTTACTACCCAGAATGCACCAGTGATCAGCATATATAAAAAAATGTCTCGCACGACACATTGAAGCTACGTTCTTAGCAGCAGACGTAGTAATGGATTCAATATAATATTTGCACTTTATATCACCCGAGAGTGTAAGCTTGAGTCGGCGCAACAATTCACACTCATTGAGGTAAGTATCGGCAATGGGAGGCAGGTACTTTTTCTTTCAATTGATTGACAGAGAGAAGTTTCGTTTTTGAGGCGTTAAACCTAAGCCATTCCTTGCCCCAGTTAACAACAGAATGTAGGTTACTTTGAAACAGATTTTATTTAGAATCTTTCAAAAGCATTCTAGCTAAAAAGAAATCAGTTAGGTTTTTGTTTTTGTTCATGAGCAATCATAAATTAGTTAGATGTATTTCAAATTTACTATCCTCACACATATTTTTAATATATATATATATATATATATATATATATATATATATATATATATATATATATATAAATATTTATATTTAAAAAAATGTGTATATTATAATAATATATATATATATATAAATATATATATGTGTGTGTGTGTGTTTGTGGGTGTGCGTTAGTAAATAAATAAAAAGATAGTATAAAAATTTTAGTTCCATTTTGAATTTCACTAATTAAATCTGCTCTTCATGAAAAAGAAAATACAATTGAATTGAATTTATTCACAGATATATCTAATTTAAAATATGTTACAAGCAGATTATGTAGACTAATAACCTCCTTAATAAAATAATTTAACGTTTTTTTATGTCAAAAAGTAACTGCTCAATATTTAATCGTATTTTAAATTAGATTTGATTTATTTTAATATCTTAAATTGATTTAATTTGCTTCCCCGTCGGGAAATAAGTGTTTGAACTTTATTTTTTTTATTCAATGCTTTGCCTACGCTATATTTCTAAATATTGAGCATTGCATTTACAAAACTTGCTTTCCTTAAAAGCGTTTTCCTGGCAATTTTTAGGGTAATCCATCCATTATTTTATTATATTTATATATATATATATATATATATATATATATATATATATATATATATATATATATAATGTTGAAATAAAATTGTGTGTGTGTGTGTGTGTGTGTGTGTGTGTGTGTTATGTAAAATGAATATATTTAAATACGAAAGAACACATTAAATAAATAATCCGTTCTTTAGTATTGCGAAAATTTAAAAAAAAGTTTTCCATATAAAAGTAGAGGTAAATTAAATTAAAATTATAGAAAAAAAGAAAATTGTTTTTAGCTATTTAACGACATACGATGGTGCCAATTTCAGCTTATCTGTCGCTGTGACGGACCAGACGATGTACGTATATGAATGCCATCATTCGCTTAAAAATGTTTACCTTTTTTTGCAATGTATGAAATATTTCTTTCCAATGGTGACTGATATGTTCATTCAAATTTTGTTGATTCTTATGCATTTTTTTCAAGTTTTTTATCCAGCCGTTTTTATATTAATTAATTTTACGAATGAACAAATTATAAAGATGCTATATAAATTTCAAGATTAATTATTCCTAAATATTTCTCTTTATTGAGGATGAAACAGGGTTGATATTTTTAATTCAATTTTATTTTAAT